CTAGGGTTTTGCATTTAGCTGTAGTGTTTGAAAGTCCGGTTAGGTTAGGTTATTGGGTGCCCAGGGGCTCTAACCGAGACCGAGACCAGTTAGGGTTCGTTCCCAGACCCAAAATAACCTAACTGGACCAAAGATAACCGATGAAAACCGGTTAGTTGCAGTTACTAACCGGTTAGGACCGAAAAAATAGAAAATCGATTAAAACGGCGTATATTTCTCATATTCCTTGCAGTAAACATTATTGCCATGCGTCGTAGCTTTAAAACAAGCCCAAGAACGCTAAATTCGGTGAAGAATTGACAATTTTATAATAATATTCTTGAAAGCCTACTATTTTAGCCAATAATTTAGAGATTTGACCATAACTCTGTCAGATTTTTAGTGTTTCTCATGCTTTTAGATGCGTTTTGAAGGGGTATAATAGGGTCGGTTGTAACCGGTCATAACCGGTTTTTTAACGGTTAGTTAACCGCAAAATAACTGGTTATTTCATTTCCAGAATTGACTAACCACTAACCACAGTCCGGTTTTTTTGCGGTTAGGTCCAGTCTGGTCTCGGTTATTTTCCAGTTAATTAACCTAACTTCCAAGCACTATTTAGCTGTAAACGTTCAAGCATTGTGATTTGCCTCAATACTGCCATCTATCACAGACCCCTGTGTAGTGACCACCCTGCCTTATGCAGGACCCACATATGAGGCGAGGCGGAGGTCGCACCGGGCAGACGAGGATTTGGATTGGATGACTTACACCAGACTCAGGCTGGTGCAAGACAGTATTCGGAAGGGCCACGGCGTATCGTTGTAGGGTCTCCCCAGTAACGTCATTTTCCAAGACGTGAGTTTGCTCTAATTCGTCTCTGTAGCTGAATTTTCTCGGTCATTCCTCTAGCGACGAGTGAGAAGGCGACTGATGATCTTCGGGTACATTGGACGTTCCTTAATTCACACGTATAACTGAACCTTGGAAGGATCTGACGTTCATAGGCCCTGCACGCATAGTGCGATTGCATTAGTAGAGTGTTGATATAACGTTTGGTCAAATGATAAAAAACATCAATATGAACAGAAATTGAAGTTTTCCTGTAGGTTAGATGGTCATTTTGCATAGTGATTCCGACGAAGTTCAAGTTGGCTACATTTGAACAAGTTTGTCAGCATGGAAAGGCTCAAAAAATCTAAGTCCTCGTGCTCACAGATTCCACATATCATTGCGAGCCTGGCTAAACGGCTGGCCTTGGGTTTTTTTGATGCTCCTGTATATACATATCTTGTCAGCAACTTTGCACTCCCCTGCACATGCCAGAACGGGCACCCACCGGCGCATGCGATGTTTCATGGTCCACATGTACGAATGCTCTCTCGACATTCGGCAATACCTCGATCCTATCTTGGAGTTGCTGACTAAGGTCATGAGCCTTCCAAAGTGGAGTGTTTGCGTCCATCACCACATCTACCTCGACGAAGTAGTTAGGCCCACTCTGTACCTCTCATCGTCAGTCAACGAGGCGCAAGGTCAATTTAAGACTGACATGATAGGCGCGAACAGTGTCAACCTTCTCAATTTCATCGCTGAAAGTCGCTGCCTTGAAAATGACGAGTTGCAGAAATTCGTGTGATGCAGACTTTCCAGCTAGGAGCCCGAATTGTTCATAGATCGTCATGCCCCACGAGACAATTACACCGAGAGCTATCTGGAAGAGAATACGAAAGAGATCAATGAAACATTTTTGCTGGTAAAAAACTGACGCACTATGATAGCGCCCGTAGGATCGAGCCCTGTAAGTCAAAGGGAAGTGAGTAGTTGGTAGAGATAACGTGAGGCGAGTTCACCTACACCATCGAAGTTTACTCCCACCAGCAGACATCAGTATACCTTAGATAGAAAAAGAAATGAACGCCAGCCATGTTCTGTTCTAAGAGAGCTTACCAAACCCATTGATGAACAAATCGTTTCGGTGGTCCTCCCACAATACCAAAACCTGGCTCGATTGGTGTCGAAGAGAGTAACAATACAGAAACAGGACGAATTTCACGGCTAGGCAGATGGTATCAAATTCAGTCAGGTAAAAGGTGGGAAGTCAACGACATACCCAGAGCCGCTCCAACAGCAATTATCGACGGCAGGTGGAATGCGGAGAGCTCATCTCCATTCTTGCTGGTAAGTGTGCGGATTGATTCGACTATGACGACCAAGTTGACCGACCCCATACTAAACAATTCGCATATCATTCATGTGCACAGCTTCATCTTGTGTGGTTGAAAACTCACAGGAAACCTTGGAATGAGTCAACATGAAAGTCGAACAAAGAGCACAGAAGGGCCTGCACCATAGATAATATTTCCGATAGTTTCAAGGCGAGCACCACCAACTGGCCACCGGTTCTCATCCAATCTCTCAGCTTTCCGATGAAGCCACCACAGCAGAACATTGCTTCCAACATCGAACACGGAGTCGATTCCGGTTGCGATCAAGGATAAGGACAAGGAAGAGATAGCCGCGTACACTAGAAGTGCGTGAGTCGTCGCGCAGCTAAAAAACGATACGAGATGAGGAAGCGTACTCTGAAGGATACACAGTCCTAAGTTGGCAGCGAGACTTGCGTATACGGCAATCTTAACCTGCATTTGAAGATATTCAATAAATCGAACGTAAACATTGGAACTGCCGACTCACAGGCAGACGATAGGCCTCTTCTTCCACTCGAGCGTCCTCCGTGTGCTCCTCCATGGGTTTCAACAGTGAAATAATGAGCTGTGATGCATATCCGCCATTGGTAAGCCGATTTCCACTTAAAACACCTTTCGGGCGTACCTCATTCTGCTTCCCCTGATACTTTGCAACGGGCTTATGTTGCTTGCGTCGGCGGAGACCATCGAGTTCTTCATCAGGAATGAGTCCATCGCGAAACTGGAATGGGTCGATAACACTCGTTGAACCAGAGGCCCTCTCGATGTCGGGTGTGTCAGGGGTTCGGGGCTGTGCACACGACGTTGACATGCGATCTGTGGCCATTAAGCAGTGCCAGGCTTACCTCCCTCTCGCCGACCTTTGTGGCTCCGGACGAACTGGGGTCGTTGCCAGATGATGATTGTGTCATCTGAAAATTAAATCCGGCAGCAGTGAGAACCGAAATAGTGGATACTGCAAACACGATCAGTCCTACCGTTCCTTTGGTTCGATCTGAAAAATTAGACTCACAGTGTAACTTTCAAGCTCCCGACTTTTGATTTGAAGTCACCTCAATGCTCAGAGGCGGGTGAAATGCAAGCGCAGGCTGCACAGCATAAGTTTACCAATGTGCAATTTGAGTTCGAACTCCAGCGATTGCAGATACTACTAAGGTCAAGAAAGCAGTTCTCATCATATACCTGATAATTCCATAAGAACTATCTGAAGACAATGTTGAAGGCCGAGGAAAGGTGGGAAAGCCTGGGGCATACTTGATTAATAAAAGGCTTCGAAACAGCGGTGCGGCCAATGTAAACTACTGAAGACACTTGTTACAGCTGATTCCTGAATACAGAACGATAGGCCATGCCAAATCGACACATACATAGGGCGGACTCTCAAATTTTATGGTGGTATATGTAAGGGTGTCATCAATCCGGAGGTTGAACGTTGAAATTTCACACCCTGTGAGAACTCAGCGGCCTCAGCCATCACGTCGCTTTGAAATTTTAAGCCTATCGTTCTGCATTCAGCTGTAAGCTATCGAGTATATCGGCTGAATTGCCTGGAGCCTCAATTTGCTTCACAGACCATGTCGTGCTTCAACCAAAGAAATTGACCGGCTTGCCGTTGAAAGCTTTATTAAGCTTTCCTTCTCTGGGAACTCTGCAAGACCTTCAACAAGTGAACGAAACCTCTCGGCGAGATACATGATCTTGAGGGAATTCGGAACAACTTGTGCGACCTGCCATCAAGCAGGTCATCCGAGTCGACTTTGGAACGAGCTGTGTTTGAGCTGTGTCCTCGAGGTCGCTGTACTAAGCCTTAGGGCGGCGAAAATATCTTGATTCATCGTTCAATGCTGAGTTCGTGGTGTCAGGTAATGACTGGAGGGCCGATTCATTTGCTTCCACGTCAAATTTTATAGCACTGACATGCACTCCCGATCCGAATTAATGTACTTTGTCCCATAGTCAGGCTGTTCCTCTGAACAGTTCCGAATCTTTGTACTATTGCATGAATCACGATCTACTGAGGAATCTTTAGTCTCCTATTAACCTGCACTGAGCGTTGACCAGCTTCGTTGGACTGTAGTGTAAGCATTGCTTCATTAAAATTCTCCATTCCGGTCTTCCACTGTGGGTCTAAGACGACGTACTGACCATCTGACAAGTTGGCAAGACCTGCTCTCGTGATAGCCATGGCCACGTCTTCAACCCATGGGTGGTTACAATGGCTTTGATAGTAAGTGAAAAGAAGGCCTAACACCCACACCCACAGATGTAGTGCTGCCCAAAGGTATATCCTCCAACGGATGACTTTGGTGTGTAATGTCGGCAAGGCAATCTCGACAGTCGCGTCATCTGACTCACTTATCAGCACGTTCGAAAGTGCTGCCCAAGCGGCCTGATACGCCCGCAAAGTCAACTCGATGGCCAAGTTTCTGCGTGTCCCATAGTTGGAGGGAACAGCGTAGTTGGAAAAGAAGAAATTGGTACACAGCAACGGTGCCAATGCCAACGCCATCGAAGTTAAGGGATCTCCGACAAGTGAAAAGGGGGGCTGTGCTTCTACAATGGTAGAAGAAATAAGTCTACAATTCCGACTCTGACACGTGATGGCTCCCGCCCGGTACGTCATCTTCGCAATTGCGAAACAGTCAGTGTAATATCCTGGAAATCGGTACCCGTGCAAGTTAACTTGGAAGCCAGGGTCGATGGTGTAATTCTGTGGGCATGGCCACACATCTGAGTCAAATCTCCCAACCCGGAAGATGAAAAGTCGTGCTTCTGACACGATGTGGGGATCCCCCAATCTCCCCGTAATAGACGGCCCCCAGTAGTTGTCAGGTAACAGCCCGCCAACTCCAATATCCGCAGAGTACGGGCTGAATTCGCCGTCGTCATGAAATAAGGGTAACTGTTTGTCCATCAAAACTTCATCAGCAAAACCTGATTTTCCCACGTAGACAGGCATAGTGCTTCCACTAATATCATAGTTTCCCATAGTTACACGCCAAGTTTGGCTAGATGCCCTAGCGCCACACAGCGCTCCACAGCACTGTGTGGGTGTAAGCTTGTGCTATAGGGCACTACAGAGACTTGTGCCATTACTATAGGGTGCTATAGAGGGGCCTCCACTTTCTACCCAGCCCTTATAGGGAGTCAAACTACAAGTATACTAGATTTCAGTAGAAAACACATTCCCTATTGTATATGAATAATTTATGACCAAAATACGCCTGGAATAAGAAGAAAGTACAACACTGTCCAGAGATTGATTGACCTACAAAGATTGCAACAAGAAAGAATATGAAGTATCTTTTGCAAAACATATTTGTCTTTTGTGATTTTTTTTGCGTTGGAAAGTGGTGTTCAAGCCGATTCCAACGCGTCTATTTACGTAGTATTTAGTTCAACACTTAAATGGCTTTGGACCAATTACTGGTGAAGAATCTGCCTAAAAACGGTAAATGTTATCGGAGGTCGCCTTAAACGTCGAAATATTAGGGGCTCTCAGACCCGTTTTAAAGCTCTAATTTGTGCGTTTCTAACAAGCCCAAAATCGCATGAAACGGAGCAGAACTCATGATGATAATATATATTTCAGATGTCTAATACAGGCCAAATAGTTTATGCTACAGTTTGTGAGGTACTCCAAATTTTTCTACGCCGTAAATTGGATTGCATTCGCGTGAATGAAGCGATTAAAATAAGCCTACATAGAGGCCAAACGGTGTAATACTTGTGAAGTTATAGCTATGAGCTACCCTAGAAAGTGTAAGTGTGAATTGATGGAAGTCGGTACAGTTGCGGGAAGTCACGTGCCGCGCTCAACTCACATTTTCGAACTTAGACAACTTCAATTGTTACTACTACTACCAAAAAACAGGAAATTTCGGGAAATCATGGAAATAGCCAGGAAATTTCTGGTAACAACTGCAAATTTCTTGGAAGGCTCGGAAATTGTTCAATAATTTTCCAATATGAACTTTATATTTGCCTGATTACATGGTGCCATCTACAATTGTGAATGCCCACCTCGAATGCCATGCTTTCTGTGAAAGACAGTGACAGGCGACAAACAACTTCAAGTCGCGAGACAATTCGTTCAAGTCCGTTGAAACTCCGACATCATGTGATTATGTTGAACTTTGACACGGAAATTCATTGTTCTTCCTTCCCACCACAATGTTCAACTTGTCCTCGACAAACGGTGTCCTCCCTCGTCGAGTTACAGCATCCTCCCTCCCTCGTTGACGAACCGCGTCCCTCGACGAACGGTGTCCTCCCTCGTCCATGAACAGTGTCCTCCCTCGTCCATGAACGGCGTCCTCCCTTGTCCATGAACGGCGTCCTCCCTCCCTTGAAGAACGGCATCCTCCCTCTCTTGAAGAACGGCTTCCTCCCCCCTTGAAGAATGGCTCCCTGCCTCCCTTGAAGAACAGCTTGCTCCCGTGAAGAATGGCTTCCTCCCTTAAAGAAAAGATCCCTCCCTCATCGACGAACGGCTCCCTCGTCGACAAATGACTCCTCCCTCAATGAATGGCTCCCTCTCTCAGCAAACGGCTCCCTCCCTTGACGAAAGGCTCCCTCTTGACAAACGGCCCCCCTCCCTCGACAAACGGCTCCCCCGATGAACAGTGTCCTCCCTTGACGAACTGCTCCCTCACTCGTCGACGAACGGCATCCTCCCTCCCTTCTTGACGGACGGCGTTTCTCCCTCGACGAATGGTGTCCTCCCTCCCTCGTTGACGAACGGTGTCCTCCCTCTCTCGTTGATAAATGGTGTTCCCCCTGCCTTGAAGAACGGCGTCATCCCTCGCTTGTCGACAAACGCATCTTCCCTCTGTTGTCGACGAACGGTGTCCTCCCTACCTCATTGATGAACGGCTCCCTCCCTTGAAGAACGGCGTCCTCCCTCCCTTGTCGACGAATGGCGTCCTCCTTCCTTTGAGTCCTCCCTCCTTTGAAGAACGGCTCCGTCCCTCGATGAACAACTGTCCTCCCTTCCTTGTTGGCGAATGGCATCCTCTTAGTATCTTTAATACTTGATACTCTGATTCCATAAATTTGATATACTGCAGTCATTACTATGTAGAATATTAGGATATCTTGTATAATGTAGTAGTGCAGACAATAAACTTATTTTTTCGTAACACAAGTTCTGTGTAAAAATCATGCAATATGGTATTAAAATGAGCAGAATGTATGCCCCCCCTCTAGGAATCTGCAGACCCCAGGGTTTGCTACTGAGGGCTGCAGATCTGCTCCATAATTCTAGGGAGCACTATGAAGTGGCTATGTGTTTCTATGAATGGCTGCAGATCTGCTCTGAGATTCTATGGAGTGCTGTGTAGTGGCTGTGCGTTTCTATGTAGAGCTGCATAGAACGCGCAGGTGACTGTAAAGGTGATACCCCTTTCTATGGTGCTATGGCACTACACAGCCCTGCCACGTGCTGCCTAGCTCACCCAGGTTTTGCTGATGACTTGGTCGGGATCCAATACCCATTCGAAAGCGTCGAGGGCGAAATAAGGCATTGTGGTATTGAGGGTGGAATTGACAGAGATGTATTGCGCTCCTTTGATAACACGCCGGAAAACTGTTGAAGGTTCTGCCCCATTGAAGAAGTCCGGCGGGTGAATCCCCCATGCGACAATTGCAGAAGCGGAACCCACTTCCACAACCAAAGTTCGGTTGGGCTTATGGTTGAAGTATCCTGTAATATCAATGCCACTGACCCCTCTCGTGATCCCAGTGAGTGCTACCCTTCCAGGAATAAGCGTGCTCGCAGGCTCCCAAACCAATGAACCAGTTAAAGCCGCGGAGAAATAATCGATGGCGAATGTAGCGAAAAGAATTATGTATATGATGACCGCGTTACTTTTTTGAATAAAGTGGCGAGGTGCAGGTGGTCTATTCGAAACCACTTGCGATAAGGCTTTTGCGGAAATACCGTCTCGCTCCATGGACACAAAAATGCTACGCCAAATGAGGTCTGTCGCCCACCATCCAGCAGCAACGCGTGTCACTGTGGCTGCCAATGAGACAGCCGTCGTAACATCAGATTGGAGGGGGGCATACGATTTCGGATGGGAAAAAGAGCCGTCGGCTTCCACATATTGAGGTCGGCAGGAGTTGGCGTTGAAAGTACGACCATCCAGAAAGCATAGACAGACCGTTGCTATGAGGGCTGTCAGGCCAAAGTGCAGGCCAAAAGGCCCATACTTGCGAAATTTGATCCTATGTAAGAGTCAAAACGTTTGAAAAGGATCCTACCGCCATGTCGAAACGGGGGAAGGAGGATATATTTCGTTACTCATTCTGGGTGTGACCTTCGTTAAAATTCCCCATATATAGTCTGCAGCGTTCAGCGCTTAAAGTGCCCTGTGAATCCCACGAGATCTGCGATTTCTATGGCGATGTCAAGATAGCTGTAAAGCGATAAGTGGCTGAAAGCTTGTTTGGCTTCAAGTAACTGTATTTCGGATGCCAGATGAAAGATAAAATGGAGCTCATTGGCAACATTGAGATGTGAGGCAAATGCAAGGATCAAGCCGACGTCTGGATAAAACCTGCATAAAGCATAAAAATCAGCCAGGTTGACTCGACGTTGAGTTAGCTCTCTGATAGCACTGAGCACTTACGCCGGGGTCCTACTGTATAATACTGCTGCCTCGTTGCGTTCAAATGCCTGGAGCACCTGACCGCAGTGAGAAGACTTGAGAGGTTAAAGTGACCAGCGGCGATCGAGCTGTCTTCAAGCTGTGTTGTTCAATGTTTGATGGCAAATCTTGCAACGGAACAGCCTTAGTGTATTGCGGTCGTGTGCGGAACGGTATTCCCATTCTTCCCACAGAAAGGTAGCGTCGAGGAGGTGCAGGGGGGCTATTCAGAAGAGATGACGTGGGGCTCCATCTCGATATGGAGGAATTGTCGATGGGTGACTGGGTACTAGTAGCGGAATTTCAAGGTACGTGGCTCTGTCCGACCACGAATCTCAGCCACAACCACATACCACCCCAGCTAAACCAAGCCCGACGATGGTGAGCCTTCAAGTTCACTGGCAGCTGCAATTTGTCGCTAGAACCAGAATTTGTTAACTCGCGTTGCAAGCTTCGTTTTGGGGCCATATTGGGGCCATACCTTTTCTACTTGTACTTAGTATTGATATGTTGCTGGATATGACGACGTCAGTGATGTGGAGGGCGCAGGCACGGACTGTAATTGGACTATCAAAGTGGAACAAAGCATGATGTTGTTTTGTTGTGATTTATCCTTGCCTCACCCGGCCGCGGGTCACCCCTGTGACCCCTCTAACTTTCAGCAGCTAACACCAGCTGCTATTGCGGTCCTAAGTTCATGAGTTCAATTCAAGTTACGGGCAGCCTCACACTGACTCAATCCGGACTGAGGATGGCGTCGGATTGTCTGCTGAGGCGACGGAACAATTTACTGAGCTATATATACTTACACACTGGCCAAGAAGGCTCAAGTTTATCTCTGTCCCAATTTTGTCCCCGGTCCTACTAAGCACACCGATTGGCAAGGAACGCCGTGATCGCGACGATTATCTATGACAAATTCTGGGTCCGTTCATCTTGGAATGTAAGTACTTTGTGCTCGTTCAAAGCGATTCCCGTTCCGCCGACTTCCCGGATTTAAGCGTTCAAAGGGCCATAGTGAAGTCGGATTGCTTGAGGTTGATACCTCGCGAGGGGGTATTCATGGCTCAAGGGAAGCAGATTTTATTTATACACCATCAGCTACATCGAGGACACAAGCGCTAAGCCGGTACATTACAGGTGCGAGGAGCGAACGTTGGGCAAGGGAATTCGTATACAGCCGCAGACACAATGCAAAAATAGACCTTGGATGCTGGAAGTCAGTGGCCGAAAGAAAGTACATACACAAGTGCAGAAAAAACGAACCTCACTACAGGCCAAGAACGTCCTTGACCTTCTGGCCCAAACGATCCACAATGGTGGGAGTCGAGATCTTCTTCTTCGCCGCTTCCGCCGCGACCTCAAGAACCCTCAGCTTATTTTTGAGCTGTTCCAAGCTCGCCTCAATCTGCGTGATACTCTCGGGGTCGCTCTTGTTCCGGATAGCTTCAAGATGTGTCTCGAGCAACTTCACCGACTTCTTGACTTGACCCGAGAAGCTTCCAGACAACGAGAGCTCGGAGTACTTGGCAGCGAGTCGACCAATCTCTTCGGTCGCTTCTGCCATCTCCTTGCCAGTGTTCTCGATGATCTTTTCGACGTCCTTAATGGAGATCTCTTTCTTTTTCAACAACTCGGTCGATTCTTCATGGCGCTTCTTGGCGACTGGGTCGGTGTACATCTCCTTCTCTTCCTCTTCGAACCAAGTAGAGTTATAATGGCGATGCTTGTCCATGTGATGCCCACACCCGGGTTGAATGCAGTAATCGAAGTGGTTTTTGCCATCCCAAAATGCGGCACATCCGCGCAACCCCTTCGGATCGACGGAGAATGAAAGGCTGCAGGGAACGTGACAATTGGAATAACACTGAGGTTCGCTGCAAAGGGTGCTGTGATAGTTATGATCTTGGAAGATCCACTTTTTCTTTTTGATCTCGCTCTTGAAGTTTTTGGATCCCTCGACGTCCTGTGGAAGCATCAGAGAGATTCTACTAGAAAGATCGTAACAACTAACCAGTTTGATACCGTCTGATTCCTTGATCAATCGCTCAAGGTTGCCCCTCTTCTCCGCGAGCTGCGTCATACGGGCGAGCGTGCTACTGATGCTCTTGTCGATCTTGATAGACTGTTCGTAAAGCGACATGATCTCCTTGGTAGGTTGAGCTTCCAGGGTATCCAGCCAGTTGAACAGCTTGACGAGCATCTTCAACGCGGTTTCATGGCCAGCGTTGACTGAGGCCTCTAAATCGTTCAAAGTATCCTGAGTGTTCTCGTCGATCTCGCCCTCCGCTTCGGCGTCCTTTTTGATCTGAAGATAGTTCCGGCGCATGGCGAGGGGGTTATCTAGGAGGAACCTCCTAGACTTCCGCAATTCGACTGGAAGGGTGTCGGATTTGAAGTTCCAGGAAAGAGGGCTCGCAACATTGGTGAACAGGAGACAGATGTTATTCTATCGGTAAAAAGTTCGGTAAAGAGATTGTTTGTGGAAGGAAGAGATGCTCACGGCAAGAGTATTGGGGAAGATAGCGGTAAGCGTGGTGATGGCGTAATCAGTGGCAACACCGAGGCGCGGGTTGGTACCGTTGGCGAGAATAATAACGGCCGTCACCTCCGGGATGTTATCCCGAATAGCAGCAGCGATGCTGTCCTTGTGCTCCTTGTCCTTCTGAAGACCGCGCGTGTCGGCGAGACCAGGAGTATCGAGAACGGTGATCTTGATACCGTTCACGCTCTCAAACCTGTAGACCTTTGCAGTGTTGGTTTGACTTTGGGACTGGGATCCGCCGTGCTCGTTGGTGACATCGTAGGGTTCTAAATTATATTCACCCGGCTGGCGGCCTGCCATGACGTTTACGAGGAGGGACAATACGCTGGTCTTCCCTGTACCAGTCTCACCTATTTGCGTATGACCAGTCAGTAACATGGGGGGGGGGGAAGTGGGAGAACCACTTGCCCACGAGCATAATGGCGAACTTGTCTTTGTTTTTACTGGTGTTGATGATTCCTTTTGCGAGGCTTTCAAGAGTGCTGCGCCCACGAGAGATCAATAAAATCCTTACTCCTGACGAGCACTCACTTCTCAATAGGCTTCTCCTTGCCAGCAGCAGGGGCAGGAGCGGTACTACATGAATGGTGATTAGACATGATAATGGTATGGCGTCGACGAACCAGACATACGGCTGAGGTACTGAGGCCATCTTTGTAGTGGTGCGATTCTGCGAAGTACTAGAAGTGCGTGTTGCAAGGACCAGGGGTCGATAGGTCGATATTCAATGTTCCACCTCTCTCCTTATACTCTTAGCAAACGCGCTGAAAAACATCTCCGAGGAACCGAACGCGTGTTGAAGGCAATGGAGTGGCTTGACACGGTAATGTCAGGAGTAATCATAACTTGTAAGGAAGAAAGGCATCACATAGGAACGCAAGTTGATGATCGATGATCGGTCACATGCATTTCACTTTTCACCGCAGCAAGAACAATTCCGTATATCTTCTTTTGGAGGCAATTATCGTCGTCTGACCGCCGTGGCATTCTTCCATCTTCACGGAGGGGTCGGCTTCTCCTTTCTCGTTGCTCGAGTCGGCAGTGCCACAACTCATGTGAACCTCGAGAACCTTTAACATCTGGGGTCATCGGTATATTTTATCACCGGGTCTTGGACAGATGAACATTCCATTAATTGTTCTGATTCCCCAGTCAGCCCATCGCAGGTCGATTATCATGTCAATCAAGGTCAATCACCGACAATGAGGTCCTGATTGTAGAGTCGGCTTTCCCAAATTCCCCGGTGTCATCGATATCCTGGCTAACACATCGTTTCCTTGTCAAAATCAAGAGGTGCAGCTGCCAAAGGTCAAATAAAACAGAATAGGAATGATCACACTTATGACCATATTGCAATAAATCGGGCAAGCCTGAAGTTTTTGGAGCATGTTCGAAGCATGTTGGATTGTGTTGGAGCACTCCTTCAATTGGTCATTCTATGGACGCATTGTTCTCCTTTTTGTCGCTCCTGAAGCACCTGAACCCTCGAGGCAGGAACATTAAGGTTCATCAGGCAATGCGTCAATCACACTCAATCACATTGGAGTTTTTCTTGACAAGACGAATGCTCCCCTTATTCTTCTGATCTTGATAACTCCACCTCAACTATTATGTCGACTTGCGTGCCAGCGATATCGGGATCTTGATGGGAAAAGACAAGACGGTGGAGGTTATCTGGTCATACGTTCACGGGCCTCTTTCTTGTCTGGATTTAAACTGTCACATCTTTTTTTGCAACCCATATTCTACCCAACCACAACCCTCATTGTAAGTTACATTCGCCTCGGCGCAGCTCCTCCGCTTACTGTTTTTCCCAGACATCATGGCAAATCTTGGTCCATATGAAGAGCTCGTCGTCAAAGCCCTTGGGAGGCACGCCTTTCTCGGCCAGCTCTACAACGGAGGGTCATCGACTCTACTCTCTGAAAATCTCTTCGGTAATGCGGAGATCATCAGCAAAGAGTCCAGCACATCTTTCTCCGATCAGTCGTTCAAGGAGGTCAGAAGTATCCAGGACAGGGCGGAATCTTTGGATGTTTCCGCATCCTTGTCGCTCTCGATTCTTGGCGGAGCGCTCGACATCAGCGGGTTCGGATCCTACCTAGACCGCAGTAACAAGAAGAGCGAATCCCACACCCTCGTCACCGTGGCTCGCGTCCTTACCAAGCATAATCGCTTGGAAATTCAACCTATGCTCGACCGCGTTGCGATGCTTGATGATGTCGTCCAGAAAACTCGTGCCACTCACGTCGTCACGGGCATCACTTATGGCGGTACCGCTCTCGGAACTGTCGTACTCAAGAAATCGTCCTCCGATAAGGCCAACGAAATCAAAGGAGAGCTCGACCTGAGCTTTACCAAGGCTGCTTTAGTGAAGATATCTGGAAAAGGCACGCTGTCGAAAGAAGACAAGGAGAAGCTGGAAAACATCGATCTCGACGTCCGTCTGATCGCAGACTTCCGTGACAAGAAATCCCCTGCACCCTCCACCGCCACGGAGCTCATGGAGGTTGTCAAACGTACGGTGGAACTCATCGGTGACACCGGTGTCCCCTACGAACTTCGCCTTACTCCTATCTCTCGATTCATGGGAGACACAGTTAACGGTCTTTTCCGCGAGTTGGCAGCGGCTGACATGTCTAAAATCACTGAGTTCTACGACGATCTCGTGACCTTGAGCCAGAATCGCACCTCTCTCCGCACCACTTTTGAGCAGAACCATACTCTTCTCTTCCCAACCTTTGTCAAGACTTGCCGCGCTCGGTCGTCCGAGGTCGACCGTCTGCTGGGTGAAGCACGCGAAAAGCTCAAGGGTTTCCTCACGAAGTTCCGTGAAAACGACTCGAGTGTGAACGTCGAGGCCTTCCTCAAGGAAGCGGCGCCAGGCTATGAGAACGAGTTGAAACTTTACAACGCGGATCGCGCTGTTGCCGCAAAACTGCTGGATATCAAGAGGGGTGCTGATGACCGAAAGTTTCCGCTTGTCTCGGTGGAGAAGCTTCGGGAAGAGATGAACAGGATTGACAGAGCAACCGTTGCTCTTGTCCTGGTCCCTGCTGACGTCCAGGTCGTCAGCCTGCTCAACACCTATCGAGTTTTGGCCGACGATATCCAAGCCTGGCGTTCCTCTCAGGATGCTGTACAGCCGTCGTCCAGCCCCAACACGCCAGCCCCGACTGTCTACTTCTCCGTCTACATTGACCCGTTGGTGGAGAGTGACCTTCTCATCCTAGATGGCGCCAAGAAGTCCCTTGCTTACGCCATCAGCACAGCCAACACTACAAAGGAAACCGTTTTCCTCACATTTGGTGTTTCCCGCCTCAATGTTCGAACCCTTGACTGGAATGCGCTCGGCCAAGAAGGGTGGGGTATTCTGTCTAACGAAGGTCAAGGTTGGAAGTATGTTGGTGACGTCCAGGGCGGCCGCCGCAACGGCTCTGGCGTAATCTCCTATGCAGATGGTACATCGTATGCAGGAGGTTGGTTCAACGACGAGCGGGACGGCTTTGGGAAATTGACGAAGACCAGGGAGGGCGGCGCAGTCATCGAAGAGGGTGTCTACATCGAGAACGTGTTGAGGTCCGACGGCGTCGTTGTTGATACCACCGTCGTCAACAATGGTTCTGTTGTTGGGTTTGCGAAGATCGCCTTGAGGTCTTATGATTCCGTTTCTGGCCACGTTGACAAGATAGCACGAGTTCTTGGATGGAAGTCCGGCCAGAAGTATAGGCTTAAGTTGGAGTCCACCTCTGGCGCCTTCACTGCTCAGACCGTGTTGGTCAACGGTCCGTTGATCGACGCCTCTGAGCACCCCAGCATTGAGACCTCTGCATGGCCTCTGGACAAGGGCGCAAAAGGAGAGCTCAAGATCAAAGTTGAAAAGTTGTAAAGCTTCTGTATTGTACTTTGTACCAGTATCATTCGCAAATGTAACCCGAGAATCCGTCATGTTCTTTACTTTCAACATGACTGTAGAAACGAAACAGTGACGGTTTACCAATCCGTTTTCTATTATAAGTCGCAGCCAGATGCGTCTACTATTTGCAAGGACATCTTCACTTGTGAGTCGTTTCGAAAGCTCCCGATCCGAATTTTACTGATAATCCCAAACTACGTCAAGGTGAAGGCTAGAACGTCGATAGCATCAGGGAACGCAATGAATGCTCGTATGCAATGAAAGGCAAGCTTGCAAACAGCAGGGCGCAAACCGTTGGAAGTAGTGGTGCCAGCAATGAACTCGTTGGACATTGTCGGGAAAAGCCATCTGCGAACGGGATTTGGCAAGCTCGTCCAATATAACGGCCTTTTTAGGCTATTTGACAATCCAGATGCGAAAGGTATCTGGAGCTTATGGATACCGATTTATAAGATCGGCAATGTGCTCCGGGTGGTCGAACGATTTCAGGCTTGCGGGAGTGGTGGAGATATGAGTTGACGAGGAGAGTAAGGAGAAGAGTCATAGGCGCGGGTGGGTGATATAAATGGACAACTGGAAGAGTGGGATATTGCTGGTGTCTCTTGGCTTACAAGTCTGGGTAGAGAAGACGCGAGTGTGGAACTTGGGACTGAACAAGCATCCCATCCACTCTCGCAGACCAATGTGGCAAACACAGCCTAATATTGATGTGTAGAGAGAAAGACGGGGACAGTTCATCTTTCGGCCACATCACAGCGGCCGCCGGCAGTGAGGTCAACAAGAAAGGCAGGGCGAACTTGTATGTAGGAAGGGTCCAAAAGAACGCCGCCAGGTGACCAGGGCAAGTGACTTGAAGACGATGAGAAATTCTTGTTCCAATCACCCATGACGTGCCCTGGAACATACAGGGGAGGCGGAGTGAGTTGTCTATCATCCCAGAAGATCGTCTAGGAAATCTTGCATGTCGGCCTTCGCATCCTTAGGTTGCGCGTCCGCTGACGGTAAAGCTGGCGCGTCAATATACTTCGGTTCTGATTGAACGGCATGAGCGAGACGAAAAGGAATCGACGATGTTGTATTCACAGACCTGCCGAGCGATCCTTGGGAATCATAGTTGGTTTTCCGCGCATTTTCTCCGATTTTGCGCGTAATCGACTTTTCAGGTCTACGAAGGTATGACCATAGTGAGCACCCCGCTGAATGGAAAGAAATACGAAAAGTACCTCGGGCGGCTTCAGCCGCAGCTTTCTCCTGGCTCATCTTATCGAGCTCATCGTCCCAAACAATCTGTTCCACCTTTCCTTTCCTCGAAGCGCCAGATCCTAGTGAAAGTGGCTTCGACGATATGTGCGCCAAGCTTGTGTCGACATCGTCATCGTCTCGATCATTCTCCTCCAACCCTGGTGCGAGCAATGAGGCATCTGCAAGTCGCTGCTTTTCCATGAAACGAGACAGGTCCACTTCTGGCTCGATGATGGGTTCACCTATTTACCAAGGAGAGCACGTTCAGAAGGGACTTTCCGGTAGACTGAGAAATCACGCACCATCGGAATCCAGCTCTGGTTCAGGCTCTGCGTACCGATCCGCGTTTGTGCCAAGCTGCCTCCTGGAGTACTTCGCCGCTCGTTCTGCAGCACTTTCATCATCCTCATCCTCATCCTGCGGCCCTTCTCCCTCCAATAACAAGCGCTTGGAGAACTCTGCTGGACGACCAAAGCCGCGGCTCCTTCCTCTAGCTCTTAAGTACTTTCCGAGGCCACCTCGATTACTTCGCCCCCTCCCTCTGCCCCGTCCCCTAGCCGGCGTTTCTAAGGACGTCGAGCTTGAGGCCGCGTCCGACATTGTCGATAACTTGAAGGGGTTTGTTTATCGCAATCACATTTGCCAAATACTCGGCTAAAACAAGTCACCAAAAAGTGAGTTGCCGAAATCAAGCCCAAATGCCTATCAAACATTTAGAAAATAATCTAGGTTTCTAGACCTTATGTATGGGAAACCATCTATTCTTGTCCCCAAGATATCAAATTACTAGATGACTTTCTTTGTCCGCAACTGTCCGCTGCTTCAAAATCACCCGCCCATACCTATAAAAGTTACTGCTTGCTGGAGTCCCAAAGCCCCGTGAATCCTTGAGGTGGGGTATGGAGGGTTCATCGACAAATGCGAGAGGTCGCACCGAACTTGATTGACAAGACGAACATTCCCCCTCATTCTCCCGGTCCTGACAACTTCACGTTGGCTATTACGTTGTGCAGTGTTCCTGCGAAACCACTGTGTGTATCAAGATGGGTGCAGAATGGCATTCCGGCTGTGACTTCGCTGCGGTGGAGTGCGAGAACAAGGCGGTCGCGCTTTCCCGCGAAACAGATGGGCACCGAGCAAGTTTTTGATAAGGGTTCTGTGAAGGGATGCCTGGAACCAACGGAGGGGCCGTCGCTCTTGTCCTTGTTCTCGTCATCCACGTTTCTGGTCTGTCCAGCGCGCATCTGGTACCTTTTACGGGAACGTATTTCATCGAGAGATGTCTGGCACCACCTCTGCGCCAATGCTACCTCTTGTTATGGGGGTTGGTGGAAAACAGAAGGGACTGGCTGGGAGTGGCCATTACATAATGACGTGGGCGGGGAAGTCATTGAAGATGGTACGCATGTTGAAAATCTAGGGTGGAGGGAGTTCCTCAGCGACGCCTGAAACA